ATATTATTTTGTTGTAAAAAATAAAACAAAAAAAGGAACAAAGAAAAATAGGTTCTTGGGTAGACCATAGAACCAGATCGAAAAACAAGGTAAGTTCCGAAGTATAAGTTCCAAGTTCCGAGTTCCAAAAATTGGGAACCGTTCTAACATGATAGGTTCCAAGTTCCAAATCTAATACCTAGCCATCTTGGAATCGATCACCCCCTAAGTACTAGCATGTGAAGTAGGGGACAAGTGCTCCACTTCCATCTAAGTAAACAATGGTAGTCTAGACAATTTATGATATGCAGCCGGTGGGGTACTTACAAACTTTCTCAATTGCATGTTGAAGCGCCTCAAAGCTTTCTTGGCGTAACTCTTTCAAGTCACTCACAACATTCCAATAGTCTTCGTTATCTACATCTCTAAATCCGAAGTTGTCTCTATCGCACCCAAATTATATATTTCAATATCAGCATCAATTGTCGCTCTATCGTATTCACCTCCACTAACACCTTGAAACTCATCAACCGTGACCTTGGAACAACTGTCAGCTACTATGAAATCTAGCGATTTTACAGACATTGTCATATCAACTACAATATGAACATCTCTAGGCTCTCTCTTAAGCTCCACCTATTTATGGACATTGTCCAGATCTTTCTTTATAATCAATCCCTCGCTCCTCTTTGTAAACTAAGTATATTCGTCAAAGGTAATCTCTCTGCTAAAAACAAAATTAGGTGAATCAACCTCGATCCACCGCAACACCTCATTGCCCTACGTTCCAATGCGCCATCACTCACATGAACATAGGCAGGGCAACAAAACATCTCAATCCGGTGAAATCAGCAAGCTTACCTGATCACTATTCTCTCGTAAGTTTTCCAATTAATTATTGGTGATGGTGATCTATTTACTAATCAGCAAGCGGTATTTACTACTTTGGCCTAGAAATCTTCATAGAATCCAGATTGGAATTAAAGAGCGAGCTATCACCAAAATTTGTCAGTCCAGCAACTCCATTTTGCTGTGGTGCAGCAGCATCAATATGGTGTTTCACCATGCTTTGAGATCATTGCCTTTCCCGACTTGAACCGACCAAGCAGCTCGCTCTTATGCTTAAGAAGACAAATCTAGACATTCTCCGAAACATCATCAACGTAGGACAACACATACATGGCACCACCCTTGTGGTGAACTTGAGAGGATCCCTGTCATGACCTTCCCGAAGGTGAACCATCTAGAATTTGACTAATAGATTACTAAGTTTACACTTAGCTTGGGCTCTCCCAAGCCCATGGCTTGGGACCGGATCATGGCTTGGGGATGAGGCTTGGTGGATGGCTGGCGGCGCATGGTTGACTTGGCGGAGCTCTTCGCGGATGTGGCCAATGGTGGTGCTTGGCCGAGAACTTTTGGCTGGGCTGGCTCGGTGGACTCACAATGCTGGCCCGGCTAAGGCTAGCCAGTGGTGAGGTGCGTCAGGGCTTCGCTGGACTTCACGTTGTGATGGCTAGTGCATCACTGACTCCGGACGAAACTATAAGCAAGGACGGCAAAGGAGGACAGCAAGGGCCGGGAGTTGTCGCAAATGGACTTGACTGAACACGACTAGGGGTCTAGAAAGCTTCTCTGAGATTGCTGGGCTGATGTCACCAAAGCTACAATAACTCTGGAACTTGTAGAAGCGTTAGTAAAAAAAGAACCATTAATGTTGCTAATGTTGATGAAGATTCACTCCTACAGGAGCTGTATTGCACTCGCTTGGATTGATGCTGGGGCGTTGGTTTATTCTGGACAACCTGTGAAAGAACAGTCAAGCACGGCAAACAAAACAGCAAGCGGCAGCGTCAGGTTTAAAGAAACGAGGACAGCAGGAGGCGTGGTGGCCGGTAGTTCGCTCGAGGGGCTCGCTGAGTGGCTGGAATTTCGCCGGGAACCTGCAAAGAATTAATCAGAAGCATCATGTGGGCTGCTGTGGCGTTCAAAGGACTCGCCGAGGGTGCTTTGTCATTGTGGGGAATTCGCCGGATCGACTGGTGCAAAGCTGGATGATGAACCGCAGCGGTAAGGAGACGAGTAGTGCTGTGTCGAGCGCGAGGCGGAGTGGCAGCTGGGCGTGTGAGTGTGAAGCTCCTCGCGATGGGTACCGCAAGAATTGCACTGTGAGGGTGGGGGTATTCACGAAGGAGAGAGAGAACCCCTTTCTTCACTTCCTTTCTTTCCCGTCCCTTTTTTTTATACTATGGAGAACGTGGGTTTTCTCTCTACTTTTAGTCCTTCCTCTGTATTCTTCTCTGACTTCGGGACTCCTCTCTCTTTTTTCTTTTGAAGTAGCCAGACCCCATCTGTGGCCAACTTCTCTATTGTGGCCGCCTCTCTCTGCTGTTCTCTCTTTTTTCGTGAAAGTTTGTACTCACCTCAGACCTCTTCTCTCTCCCTCTCTCTCAAGAGTTGCCGTGAGTGTTCTATGGAGCCCCCTTGTAAGGGCGTCAGGACGTCCTTTTATATGAGAAAGAAGGGTTCCTCTCAAGGAAATGACAAAACTTCCTTTCACCGTGCCAATAAAACAACCCAGCAAATCTGTTGACTTACCTTTCGTTTCTCTTCTTTTCTTAAATATTCAGTAACAATTCTTTCCTTCCCTTCCATAAGAATTGGCCTTCGCTCTTTCCTCAAGTAATTGATCACGCACAAATATCAGGGGATTATGCCGATTCCAATTTTGATGAACAATGCAATCTTTCCAACCTTAGGTCATCCATGTGCAAGGCACATGCAAATTTCGGCCATGACGACAATTTTTTTTTTGGTCGGAGCCATGACGACGATTTAATGGGCTCAATTTGATTTTTCACCATTAAATTAAATTCAAGACCATTCACCTGAGTTCATCCACCGCCGGTCCAATACAAATGCAGCTATATGAGCTTATTACTATCAATGCAATTTAATTAATATTTTTGGTTAGGGACCAGGGTCAATCCCTAATTTTTTTATGTAATAAATATGGTTGCCAAAATTTAGGTGTCAACAATCCATATAAGTCTGAGTGTACATAGCCACATTCATCGAGGTCAAGTGAACTATTGTACTCAACTTCACTCTCCGTTGAATACCCATGTCGCAAAGTTCACAAAAGTACAATTTCTTAGTTTAGTGACTTCCAAATAGACCCATTTGACTCAAAACAATCTTTTCCTTGTCACTTATGTGTCCAAGTCTCATGTGCTACAATTGTGCCGTGTCTTGACCTATAGCCTCAGAATATCCGAAAGATTAGCCAATTAGTGTCATTCCCTGGAGGAGTACGACGCATTGTTTATCTTCCTTGTATCACAGTACGTACACCTTAAAAGACCTTTAAACCTCTACCTTGAGCAGAGAATCGATATCCGAACTCGCCAAGAGCACTTAGTGAGAAAAGATTAATCATCACCTGATGTGGTGATTGCTAACACATTGTCAACATCATTGGAAGTTATATCTTGTAGTAATGACATTGTCATTGCCTGTAGACTTCACCTTAACTCCTTGACCTTCATACTTTGGACAATCTCTCCTATAGTGCTCTCCCTCATTGTAGTGATATCATCGACATGTCCGAATGTTGGATCTTGATTTAGAACATCTCTACCCCAAATAATAAAACCTTGTGTCATATCTTGCGCCAAGTTATTTTCTCGTAACTTCTTTTGCAATTTCTTAGTAAACAAGATGGACTTTACCTCTTCCAAGTTTATCGAAGTTCTACTGTGTATCGATGAATCGGTATAGCGCTTAAAAGAATCCAATAGAGATGCCAACAACATCATGCCCATTTCTCTTCAGGGAAGACCTCATTGACATTCTGCAAGTCCATCATGAGTTTGTTAAACTCATTTAAATGGGATATGATGGATATTCCGTCAAACATCGAGAGATGAAACATCCTTTTAAGCATATACAACATATTATTGAATCATTTCATCAAATGAAGTGACTCAACTTTTGTCCACAACGTTGTGGCATCCTTCTTTTTGGCACTTCAATCAACAACTCATGCGATACATTCAACAGGATTATGCTTTTCGCTTTTTCCATCAACTCTACGTTATCGGGAACTTTCATTGGTTTTGGCAATCTATCCTTGCCATCCACTGCCTTCACAAACCTTGGATTGTCACACATCTTAATGCTCCTCAACCCAAAATTGTCCTTCATGTTGAACTTCTTAGTCTCAACTTTTGCTCCGAATGTAATTGCAACCACAACATTTCCAAACAATGATTAAACAAGCAGAAACTCCAAATCAACTCTAGAAACCCTAACCTTAGCTTTGATATCAATTGTGGTGAAAATAACACGAAAGCTAACAAATCTTGCAATTCAAGTTAGATGCTAGAAGAAGAAATTAAAATCAACGATGAATGATGAGAACACCAAAGATTTACGTAGTTCGGTCCGAGTGTCGGCACATATATTGTCACGCCCCGAACCCCCAATTCGAGCCCGCGACACACTTCTTTGGTCGAATAATGCGATGTCCCAGGGTATCGCCGACCCAATTGAACTTATCAGAGATTTGAAACGATCAGCGAAAGCCACTAATACCTGGACAAATAAAACTGGGGTAATTAAGGAGAATAAACATGCTCATTCCTCATTCAAACTTATATAATATTCACAATTTACAAACCACCATATACACAAGCACACCGAACTTCTACACTATTAACCATCGACATAAAAAAGGATCGATAACTTGGGTTTCCCTATCACCAAAAATGGAACACCTCAAAAACCTATTCCAACCCCTAAACCTAGCCCCTACGCCCTCTGCTTGGCGTCCACTCAGAGTCTGATTCTTCGTCATCTGATTCTGAATTTCCCTGGACTGTCTGCTCCTTCGAGGACTCCGGCTCGTCCTCGATCTCGATCGGGTGGTTTATGTCACTCGACTCCGCTGGAACCTCGTCCCGCTCCTCCGAGTCGGACTCCTCATCAGACCCGTACTCTGGTACAAATTCGGGGTCAATTCACTGCTCATACGAGGGTATATACTCCGGTTCTCCTTCAGGCTCAGCAGGTTCATCCTCGGGTTCTGCCTCGGGCTCTTCCTCTTCCGGTTCTTTCTCTGGGATCGCCTCGAGATCCACGTACATTGGATCGTACCCCGCATGCGATTCATCAGGTTCTGGTTCATGCTCAGCCTCCGAGAGCTCAGGTGCTGCAGGCGCTTGTTGCAATCCAGACTGCGCCAAACTAGTTTCCACACTAGTCAACTCGCCATCAGGAGGAGGTATAGCAGACGGGTCCTAGTCCCCAACTTCATCAAAGGGGACGTCAAATCCATGAACGGGACTAAACTCGTCTATCCCGTCTCGAAAGAACCAAGCCGTGTACGTGTTGGCTTGCAAGAGGGGTAGTCCTACGTCAATTTAAACTACCGTCGTATGATTAACCCAGGTCAGATTATCATCTATAGGAAACTCTACAACATTGTGGTCGGTGTGCACCGGTACTCCAAAACGCTCAGGCGGCGGCGGCGGAGGATTCATTGCTCAGGCCAGGGTTCTGAAACAACCATGAGAATACATCTCAGCAAGAACATACCCTAAACCCCACCTAGGCTATCACGTACCTCTAGACAATCACAAACATCACAGCACTCGACAATCATATAGCAGGCACATCATTTACACTTACCTGGGCCTTTGCAGTGTAACCTGCACGTTAGCCACAGTATTATACTTTCCAATCACATGCACATTCTCATGACATTTCACGCACTCATTCCCGCCTCATCACATTCTTTCCACACTACTCGCCAGTGACCAGCGTAATGAAACCGCCTCGGGTTCACTGCGACTACCTCATTCCCACCTCGCCAGTGACCCGTGTAATAGTACCGCTTCAGGTTCACTGCGATCAACTCATAACAACACTTCAAGGCCCGCGTAATGGTACTGCCTCAGGCCGTGTATCTTGCTCGCTAGTGGTACCGCCTCAGGCTCAACACCCACCACCTACGACACAACCCGCATAATGGTACCGCCTCAGGTTGGCCGTCCTTCGGTAATACTGGGCATCGTCCCGCGTAGTCGTACCGCCTCAGGGATTTCCAAAATCACACATACCGTGTCACACATGATTTCTCCTCCGTTCACATGCTCAACACTCATTTACCAATAAAATGACCAATCACACGTGGCCCGTGCACGCACCAATCCACACACATTTCTCATGCTCAATAAGCATTCGACACGGCCAATTGACAATTAACTCAGTTAGGCTCAAGCGTGCACATAACAATACAAAGTCTAATCATACAATCCACCACTCAACAACATACATGGCCACTCACGGGCCCAAAATCACAGCCACATTACAAACACACAATCCACATACAAATTGCCATTTTTCCACATCCAAACTACGGCAAATCAATTCCAGCCCTTCACGACATTTTCACACAATTAACCGCCGAATCCAAATACCCAATTTACATACCGTACAACACATCACAGCACTCATTTCAGCCATTCACAGCCCGCTTTTGGCCTCAAATTTTCCATCAAAATCTCCCAAATTCATTCCTTAGGCCCGCTAATCAATTCCGCCCCTAAAACTATACTAATCCGCATCTAATTAAACCCGATTACACCTCAAATTTGTCCGTCGATACCCGAAATCCTAAATAAAGTTTAGGGTGCAACTTACCCGAACTCTAGACTAGCTCGGCTAGAGTGAGAAGGGGGACGGCAAGCCGGCGGCCAAGCGGCGGTGTGCTGCGGCGGCGAGCGGCGAGCGGCTTCCTTGGCCGCTGCTCAAGGCCACGGAGGAGGAGAGAGAGATGGACGGCATGAGGGTGGTGGTGGTGGTGGTGTCACGGTTCGGTGATGGGGCGGCGGCAGTACGGCAGACGGACGGTGGCCGGCGAGCGGCGGCGGCGGCAAGGGGGGGCGGTCGGTTCGGTGAGGGAGAGAGAGAGTGAGCCGAGAGGTGAGAGAGAGAGAATGAGGAGAGAGAGAGAGGAATTTGGTCTTAAATAATCCAAAGCAATAATTGAGGGGCAATTGACCATCTTGCCCTTGTCTCACAAATCAAATCGACGGTCGAGATTCGATCTTATCTTAAGATCGACGGCCCGGATCAAATCTTTCCCAAAAATATCCAAGGGCAATTTGGAAATTTCTTAAAATTCCAAGGGCAAAATTGTCCAACTCAAAAATTAGGGAAAAATGACCAAAATGCCCTTCCCCTTTAACACTTTCCCTTTATAATCCTTCAAGGGTAAAATGGTCACTTTTCCATTTTCTTGCCGAATTTATATTTTTCTAAAGGATTCGGGAAAAATCCAAAGTTGTATGTTCCAACTACAACGTCGTCCTAATGCCCCGTTGTGACTTCATAATTTTCCGATGCCCAATTTGGACTCTAATTAATAATTGAATTTTACTTAACGTAACTCGAACGTTTCTCAAACTAACGGGCGGCTTTTGGGGAAATTCGCATATTCGACCCATGACTGATAAAAGTTCGAGTCACGTGCAAGTTCATTCGATTCGTGACGACTTCGGTTGTCATGTAATCGCGAGGTTCAATCACTAGTTCCGTCGGGCACGATCATTCGGTATAGGTTCTGGATCATTCGTCAATTCATTTCGTGGTCCAGCGGAATCACCCGCGATCCACTACTATGACAGTGGCGAACTGACCCCTGGCTATCCTTGGATCGGCCTACAATGGCTCAAAATGTCACCTCGACGATTTTATGGTCGAAAATCAATTCACGATCGAATTTTCTTTAGTCGCACGAATTTAAATCCCTAATTAGCCTTTCCCTAATGGTTAGTATCCCAGGAATGATCAATTCTGGGCGAGAACTAACTACGAGTACGTTCATAAAACCAAGCATCTCATAAATCCCAAATGGGCAAATTTCAGGATGTCACAACTCTTCCCCCCTTACAAAAATTTCATCCTCGAAATTTACAATCCAACTAACAACTCGAATAAATGGGGGTATTGATGTTGCATTATCTCTTCACTTTCCCAAGTCGCGCCTTCTGTCCCGTGGTGCTCCCAAATGACCTTGACCATCGGGATCGTCTTGTTCCTCAAAACTCGCTCTTTCCGATCCTCGATCCTTATTGGTCTCTCGACATATGACACCTTGTCATCAACTTCTATCTCCTCATAATTCAACACGTGAGCTAGATCCGGTTCATATTTTCTCAACATCGATACGTGGAACACATTATGCACTTGCGACAGATTGGGTGGAAGTGCAAGGCGATACGCTAAGTCTCCAATTCTTTCTAAAACCTCAAAAGGTCCCACGTACCTTGGACTCAATTTCCCCTTCTTACCAAATCTAGACAATCCTCTCATAGGCAATACCTTAAGGAACACGTGATCCCCTACTTGAAACTCCAAAGATCTTCGCCTTCTGTCTGCATAACTCTTTTGACGGCTTTGAGCTGTTTTCAGCCTTTAACGAATCACCTTAACGGCCTCAATCGACTGTTGAACTAACTCTAGCCTAGTAATACTCATTTCTCCTACTTCATCCCAACACACGGGCGTTCTATAAGTCCTGCCATATAGCGCTTCAAAGGGCGTCATTCCTATGCTCTGCTGAAAACTATTGTTATAGGCAAATTCTGCTAAGGGCAACTGCTCTTCCCACTTATCCTGAAAGTCCAATATACATGCCCGAAGCATATCCTCTAAAGTCTGAATCGTCCTTTCAGACTGGCCATCCGTTTGTGGATGGTAAGCTATACTAAACTGCAGCTTTGATCCCAATGCCGTCTACAGACTTTTCCAAAAATTGGCGGTAAACCTAGGATCACGATCTGAGGTGATCGACACTGGTACCCCATTCAAACGAATTATCTGCTGCACATACAACTCTGCATATCGATCTAATACGAAGTCCTTTCGCACAGCCAAAAAGTGTGCTGACTTGGTCAATCTGTCGACAATCACCCAAATAGTATCATGGCCTCTTTGGCTCCTTGGTAATCCCATCACAAAATCCATAGTTATATGCTCCCATTTCCATTCTGGGATTTCCAAAGGTCGCAATAATCCCCCGCGCTTACAATGTTGTGCCTTCACTTGCTGGCACGTCAAACATTTGGCCACATGTCTGGCTATGTCTACTTTCATACCATTCCACCAATAGTACTGCCTCAAATTCTGATACATCTTGGTACTACCTGGGTGGATGCTATAACTACTACGATGTGCTTCTGACAAAATCTCTTCCTTAATTTCCGCATCGTCAGGTACACATAATCGCCCACGGAACTTCAGTATCCCATCTTCGGATATCTGGAAGTCCGACTTTCTCTTGGTCTCATCCATCTCCAGAATCCTTTGGATTTCTTGATCCACAGACTGCAAGGTCTTAATCTAAGCCTGGATCTCCGGTTCAATCCTAAGCGTGGCCAACAAACTCGAGACTTGACTTACTTCGAATCTAAACTCCGAGTCTCGCACTTTTTCTAACAAAGCCCATTCCTTAACAATCAAGTGTGCGATGCTTGACTTCCGACTCAATGCATCAGCTACCCGGTTGGCCTTCCCGGGATGATATAGTATATCACAGTCATAATCCTTTAACAACTCCATCCACCTATGCTGCCTCATATTAAGTTCCTTTTGAGAAAATAAATATTTGAGGCTCTGATGATCGGTATAAATCTGAAATTTCTCTCCGCATAGATAATGTCGCCAAATCTTAAGGGCGAATACTATTGCAGCTAATTCCAAATCGTGCGTCGGGTAAGTCAACTCATGCGGTCTTAACTGCCTTGATGCATAGGCCACTACTTGTCCATTTTGCATGAGTACGCACCCCAATCCTTTCAACGATGCATCGCTATAAATTTCATACCCTTTGGGTCCTGATGGAATAGTCAACACTGGTTGTTGACACCTAAATGTCGGCGCATCATTTAGTGATTAATTGCATAGAAAATTAGGGATTAAATTTTAATCCCTGAACAAAAATATTACAAATCGCATAGCATAAAGTTTAGGTTCATATAGATTAACTGCATTTCGCATCGGATCGGCGGTGGAAGCGAGCTTAAAATTCATCACGTAAATCGAGCTCGGGCACCGAACGAGATTCGGCTCACTCGGAAAGCATGAGCCGAAAATCACACACAAAAGGGCTTGGTTGTCTTAATTTGAGCTTAAATTAGCCCATTATGCTTAATTAAAGAAAAGCCCAAATTAATTCAGCCCATTTAGAATTAAATTAAAGCCTAAACCTAAGCCCATTAGGACTAGAAAGCCCGGCTAATTGACCTAGGTTTACATTATAAATATATGTTTATGTCTCATAATCAAAAAAGGGAGGCTCTCATAATTTTTCAGATCGGATTTTTAGAGAGACATACGAGAGAATTTTGAGAAGAGTGAGAGAGAGAGGGAAGGAGACCGCCCGCTGCGCCGCACCGCACGATTGCCGCGCCACCGCTCGCGGCACTACGCCGGAGCCAAGCTCCGCCTCACCCGCCGCGTGCCACCGCGCGCGCCACCGCCTTCCCCGCGCGCACGCCATCTCTCGCCGTGTGCCACCGCCGCTGCACGCCTGCCTGCTGCTCCGCCCGCCTGTATTGCCGCTGCTAGCTGCACAGCCGCCGGAGAGCTGCCCTGTACCGCCGCTCGCCAGCCAGAGCTGCCCTGCACCGTCGCTTGCCAGCCGGAACCGCCTGTACCGCCGTTAGCCCACCGCCTGTGCTGCCGCTGATCGCTGCACAGCCGCCGGAGAGTCGCCCGTCCCCGCCTGTTGGCCTCTGCCCGGAGACGCCCGCCGCGACGCCGTTCCCGTCGTGTCACCGTCGCTAGCCGCCACTGTTCCCGACGTCACGCCGCCGCTCCCGACGCACCGCCGATTCGCAATCCCGATCCGCTACAGATTCAAATTAGGAAAGAAATCTGCAAATCAGGTAATTATTATATCCCGATTTGATTCGAATATTTGATTGCCTAATTTATGCTTATTGATATCTAATTTTGCATATTTGGATAATAAGCATTATTTCAATTAGGATTTTATTTCTTTTTTTGAAATCTTGGATATCTATTACTTTTCAAATTTGGATAGAATTTAGAATTTTCAAAATCTTTTGAATATATCCAAGATATTTAAGATATCTCATTTAATGTGATCAAATTGTCAAAAGGACGAAATGGTTGTTCTTATTGATAAATTCCCCAGTAAAGCTTGGTAACGCAAGCAGATTCATGAATTATGTTTTCTCTGCCCCTGCGCATGTGTTGTTTTAGCCTTTTCTCAAGTAAAAACAGGTGCAATGCAATTGGCTTTGCCATTTTTATAACACAAGAAGAAATCAGGTACGTCTACTAGTTATTCTTCATTGTTTCTCTTTTCCCAGAATGTGAGACATGATCTCTTTCATATGTTCGCCAAGTGGAATAGGTAACATATCATTTGGTGTTGCCAAGTGGAGTACGCGGCACACCCCATTTTATGTTCGCCCAGCAGGACAGGCAGCATAATATCTCATTTGGTGTTGCTAAGTGGAGTACGCGACACATCCCATTTCATGTTTGCCCAATAGTACAGGCAGCATAATTTCTCATTTGGTGTTGCTAAGTGGAGTACGCGGCACACCCCATTTCATGTTCATCCAATGGAAGAGGTGACATGATCCTTTTCGTGATTGTCCAGTGGTATGGGCAACACATCCCATTCTTTCTTTATATAATGCGCTATTTCGCATCTGTAGGAAACTACGGGTAACAGATAGGCAATCCAGTACCTCGAGAACCTTACTTCCAGTGGACCAGAAGTTTGGAGATCGAGGGAAGTCAAAGCATTATAAAGCTTTCCCTCACTTGGACGCTTTTTGTGCGATCCGTATGTAAGGCTCTTTCACCGCTCTACACGAAGTGAGAAGCCTTAGCATACGTTCTTTATTGTTTGCATATCATGCATCATCGCATTAAAAAAAAAAATCATCATTCATCATTTTGCATAGTTTAAATTTAGGTTTCAGTCTTTGAGCGAAACCTCTGCGAGCCTCCACTCAAAGAGGGGCAGCTATTGACACCTAAATTTCGGCGCATCATTTAGTGATTAATTGCATAGAAAATTAGGGATTAAATTTTAATCCCTGAACAAAAATATTACAAATCGCATAGCATAAAGTTTAGGTTCATATAGATTAACTGCATTTCGCATCGGATCGGCGGTGGTAAGCGAGCTTAAAATTCATCACGTAAATCGAGCTCGGGCACCGAACGAGATTCGGCTCACTCGGAAAGCATGGGCCGAAAATCACACACAAAAGGGCTTGGTTGTCTTAATTTGAGCTTAAATTAGCCCATTATGCTTAATTAAAGAAAAGCCCAAATTAATTCAGCCCATTTAGAATTAAATTAAAGCCTAAATCTAAGCCCATTAGGACTAGAAAGCCCGGCTAATTGACCTAGGTTTACATTATAAATATATGTTTATGTCTCATAATCAAAAAAGGGGGGCTCTCATAATTTTTCAGATCGGATTTTTAGAGAGACATACGAGAGAATTTTGAGAAAAGTGAGAGAGAGAGGGAAGGAGACCGCCCGCCGCGCCGCACTGCATGCCTGCCGCTTGCCGCTTGCCGCACTACGCCGGAGCTGCTCCGCCCCTCAACCGCTGCGTGCCACCGCCGCAAGCCGCTGCCTCCTATCGCGCGCTGCCGTCTCTCGCCGTGTGCCACCGACGCTGCATGCTTGCCTGCTGCTGCCTCGTCGCACACTACCGCCGCCTGGACGTCTCTGCTCCGCCCGCCTGTGTCGCCGCTGCTCGCTGTACAGCCGCCAGAGAGCTACCCTGCACCGCCGCTCGCCAGCCATAGCTGCCCTGTACCGCCGCTAGCCAGCCGGAGCCGCCTGCATCGCCGTTAGCCCACCGCCTGTGCTGCCGATGTTCGCTGCACAGCCGCCAGAGAGTCGCCCGTCCCCGCCTGTTGGCCGTTGCCCGGAGACGCCCGCCGCGCCATCGTTCCTGTCGTATCGCCTCAGGACGGATCAATATCCCCACGTAGTGGTACCGCCTTAGGGATTTCCGAAGTCACACATACTGTGTCACACACGATTTCTCCTCCGTTCACATGCTCAACACTCATTTGCCAATAAATTGGCCAATCACACGTGGCCCGTGCACGCACCAATCCACACACATTTCTCATGCTCAATAAGCATTCGACACGGCCAATTGACAATTAACTCAGTTAGGCCCAAGCGTGCACATAACAATACAAAGTCTAATCGTACAATCCACCACTCAACAACATACATGGCCACTCACGGGCCCAAAATCACAGCCACATTACAAACACACAATCCACATACAAATTGCCATTTTTCCACATCCAAACTACGACAAATCAATTCCAGCCCTTCACGACATTTTCACACAATTAACCGCCGAATCCAAATACCCAACTTACATACCGTACAACACATCACAGCATTCATTTCAGCCACTCACAGCCCGCTTTTGGCCTCAAATTTTCCATCAAAATCTCCCAAATTCATTCCTTAGGCCCTCTAATCAATTCCGCCCCTAAAACTATACTAATCCACATCTAATTAAACCCGATTACACCTCAAATTTGTCCGTCGATACCCGAAATCCAAAATAAAGTTTAGGGTGCGACTTACCCGAACTCTAGACTAGCTCGGCTAGAGTGGGAAGGGAGATGGCAAGCCAGCGTCCAAGCGGCGGTGTGCGGCTGCGGCGAACGGCTTCCTTGGCCGTTGCTCACAGCCACGGGAGGAGGAGAGAGAGATGGACGGCGTGAGGGTGGTGGTAGTGGTGTCACGGTTCGGTGATGGGGCGGCGGCAGTACGGCGGACGGACGGTGGCCGGCGAGCGGCGGCGGCGGCAAGGTGGGGCGGTCGGTTCGGTGAGGGAGAGAGAGAGTGAGCCGAGAGGTGAGAGAGAGAGAATGAGGAGAGAGAGAGAGAGGAATTTGGTCTTAAATAATCCAAAGCAATAATTGAGGGGCAATTGACCATCTTGCCCTTGTCCCACAACTCAAATCGACGGTCGAGATTCGATCTTATCTTGAGATCGACGGCCCGGATCAAATCTTTCCCAAAAATATCCAAGGGCAATTTGGAAATTTCATAAAATTCCAAGGGCAAAATTGTCCAACTCAAAAATTAGGGTAAAATGACCAAAATGCCCTTCCCCTTTAACACTTGCCCTTTATAATCCTTCAAGGATAAAATGGTCACTTTTCCATTTTCTTGCCGAATTTAAATTTTTCTGAAGGATTCGGGAAAAATTCAAAGTTGTACGTTCCAACTACAACGTCGTCCTAATGCCCCGTTGTGAC